TTATTATTATTTATTTTTGAAGGGTAAAATGGGTAATATATGATACGACTTCATTCATGGACAGGGGGGATAGAGTGTTGGACTTTAAAAAATGGATTATTTTGAAACAAAAAACCCATTTTAGAGTTGAACAGGCCGGAGCTGAATTAGGAAAAAAATCTTAATACCCAGCGCAAATTACCTTTCATTGATGATTTATGCCAGTCAGCAAATGTGATCATCTTCTGCTCCAATTCTAGGGCAATGGTAGATTTTCAAGACAGTGAAGCATAGCCCATGCGAAACGCAGGCTCTGCATTCTAAAGCTTCATATTGTGCAGGTTCGACTGAAGAATTTCAAATTGAGGAAGTTGGTGTTCAGAATTTGAGTGTGCGATATGGACGACAAGGCAGCACCGTTTTTTTGGTTGGAAGAACACAGCGGGAAGCTACCTACTGCTGCCAGTTTGAAAAGAAAAGTAAGATCGAAGAAACTGGAGTTTGTTGGTTGGGGATCAAAACCACTGATTGAATTTCTTGAATCAATTGGTAAAGACACCGCCAAACAAATCTCTCAACATGATGTTACTGACATCATACGCAAATATGTTAATGATAATAACCTTCTTCACCCGGCAAAGAAGAAGAGAATCCTTTGTGACGAGAGGCTTTATTCTATCTTTGGAAGGAAAGCAATTGGTCGAATGAAAGTCTATGACTTGCTTGAGACACACTATGCTGAAAACCAAGACGCATGGAGTGACGGCTTTTCATCTATGTCAGACGAGGACGCTGTTGGTGAAGAACAGAAAAGCGTGATTTCTGAGAGAAAAGCTTACCAGAGGAAAAAGGTCATTGAAACACCAAAAAGCTGCTTCGCTGCGATAGTTCAGGAGAATATAAAGCTGGTTTATTTGAAAAAGAGTTTAGTTCAGGATCTTTTGAAAGATTCTGAAAGCTTTGAAGCTAAAGTGGTAGGTAGCTTTGTGAGGATCAAATCAGACCCCAATTACTACCTTCAGCAAAACTCTCATCAGCTTGTGCTAGTTAAAGGTGATTTGCTGTTAAGTTATGGAGCTAGTAATTATTTACTTGCAATTACACTTTTTCTTTCAGTACGACTGTTTTATTCTTGTCCTGTTGTGTGTGTCTGATGCAGTCTAAGAAACAGAAACAGCAGTGGAGTGACAACATATTTCCTGGAAACTGAAAAAGAAAAAAAGCACTGGAAGTAGATTAAGGGGATTTCTGGTTTAATGAGCTAGATGTTTCTGTGAATAAATAGCTTCATTTATTATTTAGAATTACTTTTTCACTTGATTATAGCAATCTTACAAGCCCAATCCTTAATTACACATAATTTCCATTTAATTTTCAATACACAAGATAATTATATGTAAATTTTAAGAAATATACCATGCTCCTTGACTTAAAGTTGAAGCAGAGAAAGTTGAGAAATAAAAAACTAGTTATGGTAATAAATCCTAGTTGACTAGTGGCTTATTGTCTTTAGCAAGATTCTTGGATGCTTTTCTGTTAATCTACTAGGGGTGGGAACAACTAGACATGGAGCTCATTCTGTGTATAACTATTAAGCAAGTGAAGGATTTCTATGCAAATCAAATAGTTTTTCAGTATGTTTGTGAACAAAGTCTTTTTCTTTTTAGTGATCAATTGGTGACTGGGGGTTGGGGAAGGATATTAGTTATTTTATTACAAGTAGAGAAATGTGATCATTGTGTCGTGGAAGATAATATGAGAAACCTAAGCTGAAAACTACTATTTGGTATGTTTTATACCAATAACTACAAACTGTTAATTTTGATGACTTATACCTTTTGTGATAGAACTGCTTACCACCCTTCTTTAAGGCAAACAATTAATGCCATTATTAAACCAGCTTTTTGAAATGTTAATTTCTTTGCTATTGATATATGTAGAACTTATGCTTTGGTTTATTAGTATGATGCGACATTATCTCGTGTTAATTATGCAATATGTTCTTATCTGTTTTAAATAGTTAATTTACGGTGTTAGCATTCTTTGTTGTCAAGGGCTGAAGAAGGCCTCTGGGAACAATGATATAAACACAGACATTCTTCTCCAGGTTTCAAATTTTGTGAAAGATGTTAACCTTTCCATGCTTTCAGATGATAATTTCTCTCAGGTAACCAGCACAGTTCTGCTAGTACATTCTAATGGAACTCGGTTTTGACATATTTCAATGCCAAGCTGAAATTTTCTTTCAGCCTACCATCTTTCTGAATTTAGGTGCTATTCATCTGGACGTTTGACATATTTTGATGAATTGTTGCTAATCCTTTTTTTAACTTTAAAACCGAAACAAGATTTGAAATATTTTTATAGTTGCTTGAAGAAGAAAGCACTATCTTGTTGAGATGAAGTGCAAAGCAGTAACAGAAATGGTTAATTTATTTATATTTCACTTCACCTGTGGGATACTAAATTGGAGACAGACATATGGTAGCTCCTTTAGTGATTGTTAATGCTACTAACATTAGCAACTTGTTATTCCAAACCTTCTAAATTTTTTTCTGAAAAAAATTCTCTTACTGACAATTAGATCTTACCCAGCTCGTCATTTGACTTTCCATTTTTATATGAGGTCTGTTAACAATCACCTGTTTCATATCTAGAGCATATGTGCCTTTCCAAAGAAGGCATGGTTGAAGTAATGGTAGGTTAGGATTGGTATTGCAGCTGTACATGGTGTGGCAAAATATCTTAATTTGTTTGTTAGGAGGCTGCTGTTTACACTGGAACAGATATCAGGGTGCATGTGGGTGTCTTAACTTTGTTGTGGGCTTTTTGCAGGAAGAATGTGAGGATTTGCATCAGAGAGTGAAAAATGGATTGCTGAAGAGATTAACTATTGTAAGCTCTTGTACTATTTGCATAATCCATAATGTTACATTCTAGTAGGAATGATATTGATCTTTGTCTAATGTAAGAATCTATGTCTTTTAGGGCAATGTTAGGCAGTTCAAACTGTCAATATTGTCCATTTCTTAATTTTCATTTGATAAATGCGTGTAGGTTAACTGGAAATTACATAGGATGAAGTGTTAAGAACTTAAGAACTTAAATTTCTTTTATAAGGTATGTTGCTAGTTCCAGAGTGTTGTTCTGGGATTGTTAGAGATACAGCATTGCTTGAATAGATACTAGAAGTTTGTGCCAAGTTAAGGCTTCTTGAGCTACAGGCAAATCATTTACTGTTATTGTGTTTATGAAAAAATATAAAAAAGGGAAAGGATGTAAGATTTTGTGATTGATTTTCTTTATAGTGCCTGACAAATCAAGGTGTATGTCTTGCTTGCTGTGGAATGTTTTGCAATATGTTTGGCTTCCATAAAACTGTGAACATTTAATAAATTTTTTGTTAGCATCCATGAAAGATCTTTGTGGTAATTATCAGGTTTAGTCTGGTTACATGGGTTTTTATGTAAATGGTAGAGTAAGCTGAGCTCAGTAGCTGATCTGTAGGCTATGATGCAGCTATTGAACTCTAAGTGTTTGTGGAAGCTGGTGTCCTGCAGAGCAGGAGAATCTTCCTCTTCCTTTTGGGTTCCCAAAATTAGAATTAACATTGGAAATTGATGTTATCAAAGGTTTCAAGCAATTAATTACTCATAAATAGAAGATGAAATAAAAGATTTTGCATGCAGAAGGCCTTTTTATTTGTTGAACTAATTATATTGTTGGTGTAGAATAGCTAGGAGTAAGGTGTCAAGTTAAGGTTGGAGGAACAGATAAGGGATTTAGCAAGTTATATGGATACTGTCCTGTTAGTTTGAGCAGTACCTGGAATAATAATTAAGCGTTTTAGTTTGAATTGTGATTGTTGATTGATTTGAGTGTATCTGGGATTAGAAAGAATAGTAACATAGGGTTTTTTGGTGGTAAAATCAACTGGTTACAGATCTGAAAATTTAGTCAAAATCAATTCTGCAATGTGCTCCATCAATAAATTTGTTGCATCCCTGTTATGTTTACTGTTGGTGAATGTTTTAAAACCAGACCCTGCCCGGTTGTGCTGACTGCTCAAACCGTTGACTGGTGTCATTTCTGGCCTCAGTTGGTCATCAGACCATATTCCTAGGACTAAAAGTCTCAGTCAGATGACTCACTTATCACTTATTCAGCTAGATGATATGGACTTGTGCCAGTTCTAATCATCAGATGGGCTCACATCCTGGCCTGGTTCCTACTTGGGTCAGTCAACCCAAAAGAGAATTATGGTGTGCCTAATCTTAATAGCAAACATCAATGGGGCACTGGTGATGTCCCACAAACTTTAATTCTCATGGTTTCACAACATTTCACTTACCATTAAGCTGGACATATCTATAGGATACTTTATTCAATTCTAATTGCATATTAACTGATGCTCTATCATTCTTGGTTTTTTACACACCGAGCAAACCTGCAAAGCTACTGATGCAGATTTTTATTTGTTTATGTTTGGTTACCACTTATTGATATTGGTTTCCTAGGTATTTTTCTCTACCCTCCAGTCCCTTGTTTTACCCATTGATTTCACTCTGTTGTGTTTCTAGTTTTTGACGCCTATTTCTTTTTTCTTTCCAACCTTTTAACTTTTCCAAATATCAAAATTATTTTAAACCATTGATAGGTGGAACTTGAAGCAAAGGCTCGAATTTTGCATGAAGATATAACCAAGCACGTATGTATTCTCATGACAAACTATACTTAGCTGTTAGAGAATGGTTGCAACTTTTATTCTCTTGTTATTGGTGTTTGGTATTGTCAATTGATGGCCAAGTGTCTTTTACAGTTGGTTGCCTATTTCACGTGCTGTTTGATATGCTAAAAGATTAAGTGTTGAATTCTTAGTTTTGAGAATTTTATGTATTGGATTTATCCTACAAAAATTTTATGTATTAAATGTTGACTAGATCTTTTATTGAATTTTTTTTAAAAGAGATACCCTTGATTTTATTAGGATTTTGCATTAAAAATGGTTAAAAAGGAAAGAAAAAATAATTAAAAAGGAAACAATATAAGATTAACATAATTATATGATGAAAATTTCCTCAAAAGGAGATTTTGGAATGCATTATTGTTGGAATATTGTGGGCACTCACACAATTGATATAGAGAAGAATAGGGTAGGCGAAGTCATAAAAAATATGAGAGAACTTGAATTCATATGACTTTCATTCAAATGACTTGTCTTGCATAATTTGCTGAATTACATAGGTATTTATACTAATCCAAAGGATGAATCCAGACATAATTAAAGAGCCATTTGAAGAAGATTTTTGAATGCATTATTGTTGGAATGAAAAATATCGATTTTTTTTATGTTCTTGTAAATCTGCTGCCTGCATAGTTGTTGTAGTGATACTCTTCACCATAAATTTCTATGTACTTGTGAATTGTTGGCCTAAATTATATATGCTGACTGTGCAGTCTCCTTCTTGGGAATGTTTGTGATGACTGTGTTGGTATAGTAATTGAAATTTTTAAATTCTTTCCTGGGATTCTGTACTCTTTTTTTTCCCAGTGGCTTTCAGCAGAGATTACCTTGTTACAAAAGCTCATTGATCGTGCCAATGAAAAGGGATGGCGCAGAGAATATCCTTTTTGAATATCTGTTGATCACATACCTAGACATAAGTGCTTTGACTAATTATGGAGCTCACCAGTTGCATTTTAGGTATTGTGACTAGAAAAGAAAATCCACCATTGATGTGTTAATAATTTTGTAACTCCTGAACCAAGTTCTTTAAACATTTATTCTTGAATTGGCAGAGACACACCTAACAAATAATTGAAAAAATCGATAATTCTGTTAACTTTGTTTAAAATAGTCAAGTGCTGAGGTTTTTAGTTCTTTACTTCTTAATATTACAGGTAGCTCTACTATGTTAATGATGGGAGTTTTTAGGAGACATTACAAAGATATAGAGCTCACATATCTCCCCAACTTTTTCCTCTGTAAATTACTTTTCAAAAAAAAAAAAAACTTTTTACCTCTGTAAATGAATGATCTTGTATTTTAATGTGAGGGAGTCCATGTGGAGTTTGCCTTTATGCCTCTATGGGTTTTTTTAGTAAAAGTGTAAAACAGTTCAGAATGGTCTTCTTGATTTTCTGTGAGCCTAGTCTTCTACTGTAAACTTGTGCTTTTGTATGCATCTATCTTTTCCTTTTCTCAAGGTATGAAGAGGCATAGACACGTTTTATTTTTGTGAGTTCATGCACTTTTGTGTCAGAGCTGTCTCATAATTTACCATTCCAAAATTGACAATTAACATTTACTTTCTCAAGAAACTGTGGGCTGGAGCCTGTCAAACTTTGTGGGCATCTGTCATGAAGCATTTCCATTAAGCATAATTGACTACTTAACTTGCTTCAGCTTTTACATTGTTTGAGTACATGGAGAGAAGAGAGCTGCTTATGACTCCAGAGGAACAGTCACGACTATTGCTTGAGGTTCCAAATGTTATTTCAGAAGAAATAGAAATTGAAACTGCACCACAAGATTTTCCAGATGATAAACAGGAATATGATAGCTCACTGGTATCAACTCTCAAGGGAACTTCAGATATTCCTAGTGATACAGCTTTAGGTGGAAAATTGTCAACCATGATGCCTTCAACCATAGGTACATCAACTTTTATTCATTTCTTTCCTTCAAATTGCCCTTGAAATTCTTTTAATCTGATATGCTTGATGGCTTTGTTTTACTGTTTAGGTTATATTTGATTTGACCCCATGCAATGTACAGGCTAGATAATTAAAGTTAATAAATTGGTAAAATGAAATAGATATATATTTTTTATTTTTCTTTTATCCTTGTTTATATATTACTCATTTTCTCATCAAGTTACATTGTGTTTATGAAATGTCTTAATCATAGAAATTGTCATTGAAATCTATGTCCATTTTTTTGTTTGAATAACCAAAAAAAGTTTGCAAACTTTCATTCATTCTTATTGATATAAAAGTTAATCCATTACCAAATGTTATTGCAGAAGAAATGGGACTTGAAACTGCACCACAAGATTTTCCGGATGATAAACAGGAAAGTGATAGCTCACTGGTATCAACTCTCAATGGAACTTCAGCTATTCCTAGTGATACAGCTTTGGATGGAAAAGTGTCAGCCTTGATGCCTTCAACCATAGGTGCGTCAACTTTTGTTCATTTCTTTTCATAAACTTGCCCTTGAAATTCTTTTCATCTGATATGCTTGATGCCTTTGTTTTACTCTTTAGGTTATATTTGATTTCACCCCATGCAATGTACAGGATTGATAATTAAAGTTAATATATTTGTTAAAATATAATAGATATATATTTTTTATTTTTTTTTATTCTTATTTGTATATCACTCATTTTCCCATCGAGTCATGTTCTGTTTATGAAATGTCTTAATCATAGAAATTGTCATTGAAACCTATGTCCATTTTTTTATTTGAATAGCCAAAAAAAGTTTGCAAACTTTCATTCATTCTTATTGATATAAAAGTTAATCCATTACGAATACATAAAACAATACTTTTTGTGATTGGCCCAAAAAATTCATAACACTTAACCAATGCTGACTTTATATTTCAACTTTAGATTCTTTGTATTAAAAGAAATCATACATCAAGCTATAATGTAGCATTCAAGTTTAGAAAAAAAAAAAAAAAAAGCTACCAAATTGTTTTTCTAAAAAAAGAAAAAGGAAATAATTCTAGATCCTTTATAGATATACATTTTGCAAGTAGAAATATAGCAGCCTTAGTGGTATAATATAAGATTTAGGAAAAAAAAGGTTTATAATGCATTGTGCACGAAATAATTCTTACATTTGATGTACCAAAACATGATTCTGTATTCAATTCTTTTTCTATTCATAATTTTATGAAAAAACAAGATAAAATTGTTTTGAATAATGTTAATCAAATTGAAGTGAAATATTATTTATGAAAAACTAAGAAGAAATAAAATGATACACAGAGACCAAGGAGACAATTTCCAACATCTCCAATGGTTACATGTATTATCCAGAAAAGGTGGAAAAAAATAGACCTAAGAAAGCTTAGACATTATATTTGTTAAGTAGGGGTAACAACTGTTAGGCTAAAGGTGCTTACATATTTAATTTGTCCAGCTCAAAGTACTATCTACTTTTACGTTTGGTATCAATGTGAATTTAGAATTGATTCAGCTAATTATATCAATTATGTAGTATACATTTAAAACAATTATATTCTTAGATTTAAAATATAAAGGATTATTATCCTATGCACTGCAACTGGTATAAGGGTTGCTACATGTCTCATTAGGCTATATATAAAGAAATTAATAAATTAAATACTAACTAGATGGACATGTTACAACCTTCTAATCCCGCTTGTGGAGTTTAAAAACTTCATCATTGGTGTATAAAATATTAATCCAAAAATAAAGGAAAGTTGAAATTAGATATAAATGTGCACCTTTAAAACGTTGACCAAAGATTCCTTTGTGAGAGAGCTATTTATACAGCAACATTGCATTTAAGGTTTCTTTTTAGTGTCCATCAGCTAACAAAAAAAAAACCTATTAACCCTTTTTTTAGAAAAGATAGCAATGAATTGTCTTGCACATATATTATACAATAAATTTTACTTTTAATTAATTAGTTTAATGAGAATAGTAAAAAATCCCCTATAATTAGATGTAGAAAGGAATTGATCGTAACCAATTTATAGATGTGTTTTTGTTCTTTCTAAAATGAAAAGATAAATCATTTGTTCCAGAGCCACAAAATCTTAACTCATAATAAATAGGTCAAAATTGCTTTAATATTTCAATTTGGCAAATCTGACTTTTTCATAATGAAAGTTGAACAAATGTTAAAATAAAATTGCTTGTGACTTCTAAAACAAGTATGGATACATAAAGGGTAAGTGTGAGAAAAGGAGCAATAAGAAAATCACATAAAGATGGTAGTGTTATTGTCACGGGTTGAGGATTCCAATCCAAAAGACATACCTGATAGGTGTAGGAAAGCCCACGTTTATATACTCAAGACTCATCCTATCTCTTAGAGATGTGGGATCCGTGACATTTTACCCCATCCAATTGTACAGCGCCTAGTTGCAATGTCTCTTTGCCTTGTAGAGGAGAGGGACCTTTACACCAGTCTTCTTATAGGCCCTTATTCCAACCTTGAAGACATGCTTGATAGGTAGAGGAAAGCCCATGTTTATATACCAAGACCCATCTCATATCTTACTGATGTGGGATCCATGACACTAGGAGGTGCTTGTATTGCTCTAAAGAAGGTTTCAAAGAGTAAAGATTTAAGAAGAATGAAGTTAACAAGTAGAGGCATTGGGGTGAGACACGTTGTGCTTGTAATGCTAGACACGTTGTGCTTGTAATGCTAGACTTTTGGTAAACAAAAGTAATGATTGATCATGGATTGTTTGGGTTTGTTGAGGAAAGACAATTAGCTTATATTAGCCACTCCAAGAAAATGCCATCTTTTACCATAACACAGAAAAATTGGTGAAATTCAGGAGGGTATGATTGATAAAATGAGAAAGGCAGGTATTAAAACCCATCTTATGATGAGTTATCTATTAGATAATCTCATCGGAGTCAAAATGTTGGAGGTATTTAATTAGATGCAAGAAATTTTGTGCGCACTAGAAGAAAAATAGAATTTTTTGTGGGAGATCCGCAAAGATTGTTGAATTACTTGAATGAAATACAAAATAAAGTCTTTTAAACTTTTGTAATCAAATTCGCCCATTTGAAGTATTTAAAGCAATTCCTATCTATTCAGAGATAGGATTTTGTGACTCTAGTTTAGCTATGTAGAATTCATGGTAACTCCAACAGAACCAAGTCTGTGCGATCATACTTGTATATATAAATGTTTTACACATTCAGACCTACTTAAATTAAGCTCTTATATTCCAAAAAGAATAAACTTTATAAGTCAAAATTATAGGATAATTGTTCACCAAGTAAATGACTCATGGTGTAAAACTTTTTATCAATTGTTAGATGAAATGCGTGCAAAAATTAAGCCTGTGGAATCTACAAATTATACTGGAAATCAACCTTTGAGCCATCTATACGTATTGTGATTAAGAGACAGAGCCACAGCCCCCTGATCCTCACTCTTGTCTCCACCCTGTGACTTGGGTTGGGGGCTCATGATTCTATGGTTGCAAACACACAAGTGGTGTGTGCAGAGCTGAAGAGGCAAAAATGACTCTAAATTTCTCTTAATTTGGATTCTTTTTGACTAGTTGTACGGAATTGCTTTTTAAAACAAAAGAAAAACCCCGGCATGTTGGACTGCAGTCTTTAACCTGTTTTCTCAATCATCCTTTGAAGTAATCTATTTCCATTTGTTGCAGATAATCAGCATGATGTTCATGAACAGCCAAAGCGACCAAGCGACAGTAATTATGCGAGAGCACAGCTTGTGGATGTACCAGTGAAGGATGATTACATTGAGAAACGAAGCTTTGTAAATATGTCAAATACTCAAGTGATTGATTTGAGTGATGATGATGAGGATTCAAATGGAGTTCAGGCACTTGATGGTGTCAATAGCCTGATATGGCATTATTCAGACCCTCGGGGATATGAACAGGGCCCTTTCTCCCTCAAATCACTAAAAGGTTGGAAGGATGCTCACTACTTCCCACCAGATTTTAAGGTTTGGAAGACAGGTCAGAGCAAACATAAAGCTGTATTGTTGACTGACATACTTCACCGGATGTTTCCCATCTAATTGTTGAATATTGTACATAGCGGTCAATATTTTGAACTACATGGGCAAGAATCAGGTTTTTTGAAACTGCAAGTAGGCCCTTTAGGTTGTGAGGATTAAAATTTTGTCATACCAAATAAACACCAATCCTCTCAAATTTCAAGTAATGTTACGGCATGGTTGGTCAGAGAAATCTCTGTTCCTTTTGGATTTCTCCATTAGATTTCTTTGTTAAAACCCAGATAGATGAATAGATAGGCATTGAAGGCAAGAAATGTCCAATGTTCATCATCTGGGCCAAGCCCCAGATAGCCACTTTCTCAAGAAATAGCATTTGTAGATGATTTTTTTCTTTTTTAGAATTGAGGGAGAGGTGATTTGAATTTTACTTTTAATGTAAAGAAATTATGTACTAATCAATAAGTTATATACTCCGATGTTATTGGTCTCATGAATTGGTGCCACTCTTTGTTAGACATTTTATAAATAAATTTTAGGATGAAAGTAGTACAAAACTAATATTAAAAATTGAACATAAGTCATTCTTAATGTATAAACAGTCCATCAATAGAAAGCAAAAAAAAAAAAGAGAAATAAAGAACAAGAAAGGGAATAAGAAGTAAAAACAGGGTAAATGATTGAAAGCAAATAATAGGAAAGACAGAAATAAAAAGAAAAACAAATTGAAGTATCAAGTATGAATAGCTTGAAAATTGGTCTAAAAATACTGTTAACTGTAAAAAATAAGATCATGGAGCATTGAAAAAAGAAGGAAAAGGAGATTAGAGATAATTACAATATAAATGAAGGGGGATTTTAAGAAAGATAAGTTTACTGTTAAGATCGACATTGATGACATTTAATGACCCAGAAGTAGAAAATGCAAAACCAGAATGTTGATGCATTCTACACAAATCATCAATTATAATTGAAGTATTTTATTGAGAAAAATAACTCAAGGTAGATGAAAGATAAGATGTGCAATCAAATTTTCTCTTTTGTAACAAATATTTGCTGAACCAGTCATGGTAATAGTTATAACAGGTTCAACTCGAATTGTCTGGAATTCTTCATGAGCATTTGCAGAAGAATGGAGAATTACATGTTCTCTTATTGACACATAGATACACTGGGTTAGGGGGACATTATTCATGTTGATGTATCGAGGAGGAAATTCTCTTTCAATTTGAAATGAGTAACTGTCACTTTTAGATATAATCGGATTAGAACTGACATAATATCTTATCTTGTTTAATTTTTTAGTTCTCAATATTTTGACCCTGTTACATCTATTTTATTTGTTATGATTATTTTTATCTATAAAGATAAACTTATTACTATGAAAGGAAGATCTAACAGAAAACTTAAGAAATTAATAATATAAAAAGTAATGATATGACCTAAATAAAAAAACAAATGAACAGAGTGAGAACAAAAAAGATGCAAAAATGAGAAGACGAAGTAAGGTTGAAAGCTTTACAATGCTCAATTGCTATTTGACGTGATATTCAGTGGAAAAAACTATAAAACACTACAGAACAAAAACGCATATACACATTAGACAAATAGATGAGGAAATGCTATGTGAGTATTGTAATATCTGACAATGAGAACATAACAGAAAATTTGAATATCATTTTTATAATTAAAAAATAAAAAATAATAGAAAAAGTTCAAGATTGCATAAATTCGATGTAAAAAATTTATACATTTAAAAGGAGTGTTTGAAATCATGTAAGAGCACAAAGAAAGGCAAAATTAGCTCGCATTTGAATATCATAATGAATTTTACAAATCTATGTTTAATGTATGTCATTTACTGAAGAAAGAATTTGCAACCTGCTGTAAAAATTAAAGAAAAAACAATGAATGATATATAACTCATCCAAATTTCTAAAGCATAAATGCGCACATATAAAAAATGAAACTTGTTAAAAACATTGAAAATACAATGAAAGATACTAAAACATAAAAAGTATAATAGCTATGACTGAATAGTTTTCAATTAGTATAATTAGTGCAATGATCAGGAGAAGTAATTGAAAATTTTAGGCATAAGTATAAATACTTTGGTCTACATTTAATGAAATAATAATAAAATCTAATAAATCTGACTTAATCTTTTTTTTTTAAAGTAAATCATAAATTTGGAGAAAGTGGTGGGTTCTGATTTAGTGATAAGTGTCGTAGGTTGGTTATAAACAAAATGCACTTGAGTCCTTGTTAGTTGTTACAACTTAGAACCAAGCAGGTGCACCTTTTCCAACCATGGAGGAGTGGACTATAATTACCTACAACGGGCTAATTTAATAACACAACTACCCATAAAATCTTAGACGGGTTTCTTTAATCACCTTGATGGGCTTATTGTTAAGTCTATGCAGCTCTTTAGAATAGATCTGGACGTTGTCAAACCAGCCTTTATTGGAAATCCCTACTATACCAAAATAAAGAAAAATATCACCAAGAATCTTATTAAAAATATAAACAGAGATAGATTCCTGAAGGAGATAGTCTTCTTATTAGGGATCGTTATGTATAAAATAAAAATAAAAGTTATTGAGAACTTTGACGAAGAGAAATAAGATGTTTACAAGGAAAGAAACAGAGCAAACTTTTTCTAAAGCAATTCATGTAGCACAAATCAACACAGTCAAAAGCAAAATGTTAGACCATGGAATAGTAAAAATAAAGCTCAAATGTTGAATATAAAATAAACAAAGAAAGGGTCGGGTTAGACGGTTTGGGTTGTAAGAGAAATAAGCCGAATGGATTCAAGGGTGAATATAAAATAGATTTGATATGTATGGGAATTTCAAGATCATTAATGATATTGACAGAGATGAAATTCGGCATCAAATTAGGATGACTATGTCTTCTAGGCAAAAACCTTTTTGTTTAATCACCATGACTTTTCAGGGCATACACGATAGCACACCGTACACAAAGGAGCGATTAGATGCAATTCCTAATGAAAGAATAAAAGCTCACACAATCCATCTAACGTGTTGCTCACTCAAACAAAGAATAAGCCACACCGCACTCTGCTCAAACCCAACTAAAAGCCAAAAACAAATTTCCACATGGAAGCTTAACAGGACAACAATGTGACTAAATACGGAGCTAGTTTTGAATCTTATATTTATATAGGTTATATATATATATATATTAATAACAATTGGCCCAACATTTCGTGGGCTTTAATAGCCTTAACAAGCATCCATTTAATGATGGCCCAAAATGTTTTGGACTTTGAAAGCTTATAAGATCCAATCTTAAAATTGGACTTCAATTTTAAAAAGGCTTAATCTAAACGCACTTATACTTAATTTGGCCTAAACATAAATAAATATCAATAAAATAAAGAGAAAAAAATTAAATCAAACTCAAATTTAAATTAACTCAAAAAAAAATATGGCATCTATATTATCCTCATATACCATTGTTGGATTTTTTCTTTTGATTGATAAGTCACACGACCCTTGAATATGTTGAATGACATATTTTAACCAAATACATTCATGACTTGCCTCATGAATTGTTAAAATTTTTGCATAGTTAAAAGAAATAATAATTATAGTTTGTTTTTACAAAACGCCATGAAATAGTCGTACCTCTATATGTGAGTATGTAACCAGATTAAGATTGAGCTTTGTGTGATCAAATAAATACGCTACATCTGCATAATCAATTAAATCTAATTTGGATACATTTGAGTAATATAAACTGATGTCCGTAGTCTCTTAGAAATATTAAAGAATATGTTTAATTTCATTTTAATGTCTTAGAGTTGTAGCAAAACTATATCTTACTAAGAAATTTACGGTAAAAGATATATCAAATTGTGTATTGCTAGCAAGATATATTAATATTTCATTGCACTAAGATATGGTACTTTAAGATTAAGAAGTTTTTCATCATTCTCTCGAGGTCAAAAAGGATTATTTTCATAGCTAGTGATTTTACAGTCATTGGTGAACTCAATTGATGTGCTTTGTCCATATAGAATTATTTTAGCACTTTTGCTATATAATTTGATTGATGAACAAAAATATCATTTATCAAGTGCTCAATCTAAATACGTAAATGAAATTGTCTTTCCAAGGTCTTTAAAATTCTTTCTTTTAAGTAATTCACTGCTTTTGATAACTCTTCAGAAGTTTCAACAATGTTCAAGTCATCAACATAAATTAAAATTATGACAAATTCAAATCCGAATATTTTTCTAAAAACACATGAGCATAAATGATCATTTTTATAGCCTTCTTTCCATAAATATTCACTAAGACGATTATACCACATACGTTCGAATTACTTTAATCCATGCAAACATTTTTATTTAATTTAATGGAATAAATTTTCTATGAATTCAAATTGTGTGCTTCAAGCAATTGTAATGCTTTGGGGATTTATATATACATATATCGTTATTAAGTGAGCCATATAAATAGGCTGTAACGACATTCATTATATGCATTTTACATTTCTCATGTATTGTCAAACTAATTAAATATCGAAATGTAATTGTATCCATCACAGGAGAATATGTCTCTTCATAATTAATACCAGGCCTTTGATTAAAACTTTGTGTGACAAACTATGCTTTATATCTCACAATTTTAGTTTTCACATTTTTTTTATACAAATACCCATTTATATTCCATTGGTTTTACATTATTTGGTGTACGAACTATACATCTAAAAATTTCATGTTTTGCAAGTGAATTTGGTCCTACCTTGATTGTGTCTTTCCACATTGGTCAATCATTTCTATTTTTACATTTTTCAATAAATGTTAGTTCAAGATCCTCATTTTCGTTCATAATTTTGAGCATTACATTATTTGCAAAAATATCATTGATGTTTATTTTATTTTGGTTCCATTTTTTTCTTATCATGACATAATTTATTGAGATTGTTTTATTTTCATTGAGTTCATGAAGCTAAATTTCTTCTTGAATTATGTTAGAGGTCTCTTCTAGAGTTTTTGTTTCTTCTTTATGATCATCTTAAATATTTGTTTCTTTTCTTTTTTTGAGAATTTTTATCTTTAGAATCGATTGGTTTTTCACACTTTTGGCATGCTTTAGACTTATTGGTAATAGTAGGTTGTCCTTCGGGGTCATCAATTCTAATTAGAGCATTTCAACTAGTATATGAGATTTAGTTATTCTCTTAGATTAGTAAATAAGTCTAGTAATTGATTTGTTATATTTTGTAAATGAGTTATCTATTGAACTTCAAGTACCCATTAATTTGTGTAAGGATCAAAACTAAATAATGATAATTTATTCTAAAAAAAATTGCTTATTTTCGCCTCCTAATGTTGAAAAAATTATTTTATCAAAATGATAATCGAAAAATCTTGTCATGAATAAATCTCTTGTTGATACTTCTAGATATTTAATTATGGATAGAGATTCGTATCGAACATATA